TAGAGAACCTCTTCCTTTGAACCAAATACTATGCATGCAATGCCTCTGGACTTCTAATTAATTATAAGAAGGTATTAAGTTATGCTGAATGCATGTACCCTAGAGGAAGAAGGGATGAAATCAGCACGGCACGAAGGCCGGCCTGCACATACAAGGAACAGACAAATACCAGCGCAGCCTCCCATCTTTTTTATTGAATAGAAGGAACAGTAAGTGAGCTGAGTTACATAGTTTAGGGAGGAGAAAAGGATTAACCCCGAGCTCGGTCCGAAGACCAACTCATGCGTACACGGGCCAAACTGTAATGATTTGTTTGTTTGACTACCTGACGCTTAACGTTCGCTTCAGAGTTTCTCTGACCATGCTCAGGCCCATTTGCTCTGCCCTCTTTGGGATACAAATATCCGGCTTTGCTAACTGCCTTCTTTTACCTAGGAGAAGCCTCAGAGCACTACAATCACAAACAAGGAGTTACGTTGCCCTTCACTTCTTTTTAGCGACGTCCGCAACGCTCATTTTGGCACATTTCCCGCAATAGTCATCACAATACTCAGTGCTGCAAAAAAACACCCACGACCCAGCTGTGCCAGTCAACAGCTACCATGAGACTTATGATCGGTACTTGGTTCTCTCAGCGCCTTCAACTGGACCTGGAGTTGCGTTTGATCTGACAGCTAGAATCGAGGCCGTTGTTGTGAAGACTGTAGAGTCCCGAGACTCCCTAGCCGGTATTAGAAGTCAGTAAGAGCAGCTGGGTACGTGTATTCTGAAGACGACAGGACATATGGGCCTGGGCATTGCCCGAAGGTCAGCCCACGTGTGCAAGGGCCAGACAAATCCTAAAGTGACCGTCAAGCGTTAGGTAGTCACATAAACAAAGTATTACGTAGACTTCAGAGATACTCCCGCCCCGACATAAATGTCCCTCATCCACACCGTAGGCACATGCAACAAATGGCACATTCTAGCATGGAAGTGGTTAAAATGACGAGTTTGCTTTCCGCTATTACGAGTGAAGCGTTTCGAAACCAGAAAAAGAAGGAAATAGGTGGAGCTTGCTCCATGTATTCCAAGGAGAACAAGTAGTTAGGCCTGAACACGACCCGAAGTCCAACCCACGTGTACAAGGGCCAGATAAATCTTAAAGTGATTGTTGAATGCCAGACGATCACATAATTAGGGTGTTGCTATCGTAATGGACAAAAGCGGGCAATGCGGATGCATTCGCCAACATACATATATGGAAGCATAATATGGGGTAAAAAGTATCATATCATTAAATGTGTAACAATAATTACATATGCATAAATTGCGCTTAAGCAACGTTCTATTTAACTTTGTTCTAGAAAGCAAAATACAGGAGATTTCATAGATTTTTATTCTCTTTTGTTTAAGTTGCTTGTCCCAGCGAACCTAACCACTTGTTTTCTTCGGGCGTGCTGTTCTGTGTTGTTGTTCATAATGGGCCGTGTCTACGGACATGGGAAGGGTATCTCCCAAAGTACCTTACCATACAGGCGCTCTGTTCCTTCCTGGCAAAAGCTAACTGCTGAAGAAGTAAAGGAACAAATTTACAAACTTGCAAGAAAGGGTCTAACCCCATCTCAGATCGGTATATGCTTTCTCTTCTTCATGTTCTCGATTTTAGGTGTAATTCTCCGCGATAGTCATGGCGTCGCCCAAGTGCGTTGGCTAGCTGGTAGCAAGATCGTTCGCATTCTAAGAACTGCAGGTCTAGCTCCTGCTATTCCAGATGATCTCTACCACCTGATTAAGAAGGCTGTCGCCATCCGAAAGCATCTTGATCGAAATCGTAAAGACAAGGATGGAAAATATCGGCTTATTCTGACAGAGAGTCGCATCCATCGTATTGTTCGTTATTACAAGAGGAAACGTGTTCTTCCTCCTAATTGGAAATACGACAGCTCCACGGCTTCAGCTCTTGTCGCTTAATTTGTCGTGAATAAATAAAGTTAAGGTGTTTATGCATACTTTGAAGCTGATATTTTACCTCCCGGTCCACGTATTCTATGTCACTGCTAGATAGATGTGCTCGAACCGCTATCCCATTTTCGGGCTGTTGCCTTTCTGACCTCCGACCACTTAAGATTTACTGACTGCAAAGCTTCGTGAGTCCTCCAATCTTTGAGGAGTCTCATAGTTATGGACATGAGCCCTTCTACAACATTATTCTCTATGCTTTATTTTCATGGTATGTGTTGAAAACTCCCTAGGTGACTGGTTAACTTAGTTTTCTTATGCATGTATTTTTTTGAAGTAAGGAGTGTTTGGTGTATTTCTGAGTTGTTTTACTATTTAATACCTCACCTTATGACGTAGAGGTTCCATGCTGATCTGAGTTTGGCTTTTAACTGCCATCTTTGCACGTCACTGTGCATGACCCGGTCTTGTGCTGCTTCATTTAGCTTAATGTGGCTAAAACCAGCTTCCTTGAGTAAGTTGAGAGCTATATCCCTTGGCTTCAGCTCGAGGAAGCGGTGACTTTTCCTTGCCACAGCTTATGTCGGAGCTATAGAAGTAGTGGACAACTGGGCGACGGCGTGTTGGAGCGTCTAGAGTCATCGCTCATGGATGAAAGATAGGGTCATTAGGCCACAAGTCCACTGAAACTGAGTGGTGGTCTGTAATGTCTTGTTCCGTTTACCAACGGTGGCAGCTTTAAGTATGCGTTTAGTTAGGCTGATTAAAATTTTGGAACGGTGCAGCGGATGTGATCGGTACCTACGAGGCAACCCAAGCCGTCCGGTTCCTGGATTATCCATAGCCGTTTCTTCTTCGTAAATAGTGACAATGATTGGGGGCTGAGGAGCACTTTACTGGATTGAGTAAGTCCACTAGGCATGACCAAAGATGAGGTCTTGGGTGCTACAGCATAGTGGAAGTGCGATAGCGGTGAGACGTAGCACTAGAACTGGTACCTGTAGGAATGCCAATTCAACACGTCCTCAACGTTCAGATGTTACGAGAGGGCTTGTACTTTTGCTCCACCTAGTAGGTTCCGGTGGCCAATGTGTGCATATTCGCCATATTTGCATCAAATTTGATCGAGCAATCTGATGTGTTAGTCAATCCATGAGTACCTATGCCTCAACTTAATTGCGGTAACAGTAATATCGGTGCGACTTTGGGTACTGAGAAGAGACTGTCACTTTATAAGCATTTGGTATCTTACCGCTATTAATCGTCTTGGTATCAAGCCTCTCTCGTACCACTTTTGTTCAACAGAGGTGCAAATTGAACTAAAACGAAAATACATGATTTTTTGTGCACCACTCCATGTAAATGATTATTGTTAAATGTGGCAGTTCTACATTTTTCACAATTTTGAGTGTAACAAATGAGTGAGCTCGAGGTTGCAATGAAACTCAATGGAGTGTACTGTAACCTCCCAAGACTTCCCATAGGGTGGAAGAAGGCAGTAAGTGATGCTGAATACATGTATTCCGAAGAGAACAGCAAACGAAACAGAGCATAGCCCATAGCCCACAATTACAAGGGCCGACCAAATCTCGAAGTGACCGCCAAACGTCAGTTATTCACATAAACAAAGCACCATATGTATATTGCTGGTACGTTTCATCAAACATTTTCATTTAACCTCGAGGAATGTTTAGGCAACTACACATGTATACATGGAAATTGGTGGAAACTAAAAGCAGTATATGAACTTTTTCGTGTGCTAACGGCATCATTTCCACACGCGATCTTAATGAGCATTGAAAAGTGCTTTCGGCGAGGGCGATTTTCTAGGTCTAATACCTCGCTAATTTGACTGCCTCTAAGCTTTTGGTGGTTGGTCTAGACTTCAATTTATATCCCTTGCCCCGTTTCTTTCTGTCCTGTCTAAGTGACTAATAGAAAATTTTACTGTCGTTTCATTAGTGCTGAAATGTCCTAAACTCAGTGCTAAAAGATAATGCCCTTTTGCATTTACGAGGCAGTAAAAACGTTTGACTTTCTAGATTATGCGAGAGAATCCTACTAATCCTGCCATATTTTGCACAGTTCTCGTCATTTTGAGCTTTATATTGCCTTAGTCAGGTTCAGACACAATACCATTTCTACCCATCGGTTTTAATTTTTCGATCCATTTTTAAATACATAACTCGGATTCGATAACAAAAACAACCAAAAAACGATAAGCTTGTTAATTTTTTACAATTTCTGCCTAATGCACCCATTTAGGGGCATATTTGTCGTATATCTAAACTGCAATTGGCTGCATCCGACCTAAGATTTACTTGGCGAATTACTCAAAATGCGTGTTCCACCGTTGAGATCATTAAATGATTTCCTCTTTTCATACTACAGCGTACCAGATATGGAATCAGTAAACGAGCGTTTTACGTCAAATATGCTATATTATCAGACTAATTATTTCCTTATTACGGCCATTCTAATAGGGATAAATTTGTATGTCGCCGCAACAAGTTACTAACATCTCATCTTAGAATTTTAAGTCCTGTTAGTGTCTTGGTTAGCTCGTGCGCTCTAGTATTTGCGATAATGCTGTGCAATAACCTAGACAGCTGGTGGCCTTTTGCTTATCGACCTTCCAGGACAGTAATCTATGGCATTGTTTGTACGGCCATCTTACTGTACATGCTACCTATGATGACTCCTACTATTCTCTGTTTGGCCTCGATTTCACTGGGTATGGTGATATTTATTGAATTTCAGTCTGCATAGTTATTATGCTGCATGCATTGCTTCGTCAAAGGAACATGATGAATAAGGTAACGCGGCTGTTGGACGCCAATGTTCCTGGTCGTTACAGATCTCCGATGGGATTACTTTTAGGAAAGCATGGGGAATGATATTTTGTGTTGCCTTCTGTCACCAACATTGTATCGCACCTACTGCTGTGACCTTTGTAATACATGGGCGTGGAAGCCAAACTTTTCCATGCGTGCAGATTCACGTCGTATAAGTAAGGTGGATTGTTCCATAGATATTCGTTGAGTCTGGGTCGATTATTTATTGATACAATACTACGCTCTAAGTCCTTTTCTCCTGAACTCTTTGCAGGGTGCGTATGTGAATACTATTGCTTAGCTTGTTTCTGTAATCTTGGTGGTTTGCAAAGTGAATGTTAAAACCTTTCACAGGTTTCACCTTTTCGAGAACCTTGCTTCATTTAGTTCTGGGTCAGATTGTTTCTTTTGATCGCAATCATTTGCTATTTTTATTACTAGAATAGACTTCAGTTAGCTTCCCCTATTACTCACGTAGAACATTCATGTATGGTTTCTGGGGAGTTGACAGGCGCATATTCAAGTATAACAGTAATCACCTCTTGGCGACGCTGAGTACAATTAACTGGCTCACAATTGAGGCATATTTTGTATAGTATGGTAATGGACAAATCATCATAAAGTGTATTGCTGGCGTCTTGGAGAGCTGCGACGTTAAAGGTTTAGCAAGATTAAGTACTCTGACACACCCTGGTCCTGCATCTGCATTTGTTTGGCTTATTTTCTGTATACCTGCAATGACTTGGTGTTTTGCCTAGCTTTGTGAACTCTTTGGTCTATTTAAATTGTTACTTAGTATTGCTGCTGATTGTTAGAAGCGATTTGTTAACTTGTGTTTGAAATCCTATTGATTTGTGGTTACTCATTGTAGAATACAATTGATAATTTTGTGAAACTTTCCTGCAATTGAAAGTGACATCGTGTAGCACACTTCTGCTTCAAACTTGGTCAGGACTTTCATTGTAACCTTGCTTTCCAATTTCTTCTGTGGTCGTTTCGAAACCAATGTTTTTTGATGAAATATTCTGACCGTATTAAATACACCTAATCTTTTGATGAACAAATCTCCATCCTCTGAATGGGAACTATGTTCATTTAGTGTGTCCATCTCGTTTATGTGAGTACATTAATGTGATGTCAGTTGTTGCAATCAGCGTGAACCTAAGAAAGATGAAGTAATGCCGATGAGTTCCATGACTCTAATGCTCATACTTAAGTGTTGCGAGTAGGGCAGTTTACTTCTTGATGAGGATGGCAAGCTCAACACTGTAAGAACGGCAATAGTAAAAAACTGTCCCTTTTTCCTTGCCTTAATCTGCTCTTTATATGCACACTAGGCAGGTGAAAATTGCTGCAATAAAACACGCTTTGTGTGATTGTTGCATGCCGTAAACTTCTGTCATCGCGTTCACTGCTTACTCATCTATCCTAGGAAGTAAATATTAAAGAGACGGTATTGAAGGTATAGCTGTCCTCACGGTTAGTGAGCCCCACTTTTGAAGAACATGCATTTACTGTAGGCAATGGTTTCGATATTTCAATGGGTAATTGTACCAGTCTAGTTAAAATTGGGGTACTAAAGTGAGGATAGTTTGGAAATAACGCCAATGGTACAAATTTTGTAATGCAGCCAGGGAAACGACATTTAGGTCGGGTAGATTTAAGATGGCAGTGTACGATTGGCTCTCAGCTCCCAGTTTGTTTTGGTCAGGATAAGTACGTGTAATGTACGGTAGTCTTTTGGTGAAAGCTGCCCGGTGGAGGTTTCAGCGCCTTTGAGCTACTTCGCACAAGGTAGGGGTGTTTATCTCCAATTCTAGACCTAAGTTATAAACACTGTATGTTAAGTAATATGAGGTGCTGTCTTTATTTACCACTTATCGGCGATGAATGAGATTTTCGCAGAACTTTTGAGGCGCGGAGCAATGGCTCTAGCAAATTTCCGTTCACAGCAGACTCCAGTGTCTGAGACACCAGACTTCCCCCATTGGCTGTAATACTCAAGCAACCAATAGGTAAAACCTCATTCGATGCAGTAATGGAGAGATTACGCTGTACTCGCTGCCCTTCGCCACCCTTGAGACCTACTGCTATGGTCTGGAGGCGATGGAGCTACTTCAGGCAATAACGGCACTTTGATTTGCCAATGGCTGAGTAGTCCTCCCTGAGATATTTCATATTCACTGCTTTTCAATTCTTATAGTTCATTTCACCGACTCTTTGGGTAATTGACTCAATGCAGATTAGTGCATAAGCCAATTTTCGGATAAACAATGCATACTTGGCATAATTTTGTCTTAGTGACGGTCATATTGTTAACTTCTTAGCAATGAAATGGTTTTAAAATAAATCGTTTGTCGTCATAGCGTTATGCACATCGGCTGTACTAGCTGGAAAACTGAAGCATGGAATCATGGAGGGATGACTAATGGATCGATAGTGAAGAGTGGATCAAGAAAGACATTAATTGGTTGAGATCTTATCCTGGTGAATGTTCAACTTGCCTGGATATGATGAATTCCTGCAATAGTCACTGTTCTACACGTTGACCAACGGCTAAGCGGATGGCGTTTTTAGTGTTGCGTGCGATTTATTTGCAATGCAGCTCGTAACAAACCACTTGTTTGACCATAACCGTTGAAAAATAATACAAGATACGAACAATGGACCAAGGATTAAGAACATTTTAATCCTTCATATTTCCTTCGTCAGTTGTTAGGCTTAGTAAATTGAACCGTATTTAGTGACCTTTGGAAAGTTTTCTTTTCGTGTAGCATGACCTATTCATTCAATAAGCAAATATACTGCCTTGGGGCTTCCCTGAAGATGAGAAAAGGCTTAAACCCCTGGGCAGAATAAACACATTGCACAAGACAATTTAAGGCTGTTGACATGGCTCAGCGAACATCCATTCGTTGAGGATACAGCGTACACAGTAGGAATCCGTACCTTGCCAACAAGCATATTGCAATTTTAATGCTTCAACATCTGCCTTATAGCGGAGAAGAACGCATTGATGCTCTGCATTTGATTGGCTGTGAATCGCCGCTCAAAAGCTCAAGTCAAACTGACTGTTCAAGTAGCATGATGTGCTCCCATGTAGACGGGTTTTGGGTTTACTTGTGTCCGCGCCATGATTATGTATTGGAACAGCACTCTTTTAAACCAATTATTTGATAAAATGGCGGGCTTGACAGTAGTGTGAGTCACCAATCAGAAGTCTCTCTCATCGCCAAATAAAGCCGTGTCAGACGATTACAAGCATTCTTACGTGTGGTCATTGCTGATATTAAGGCAAGTTAGGCTGGGGTCCCTTCGTTCACATGTGGTTTATGAGTACCTTGCTCGTCTACTGTGATAACAAGGCAGTATCTTCTCAGTGTATGAAATAGTAACTTTAACGTGTAACTGGCTGTCGGGAAATGTTACATGACGTTAAGAATTGGCTCTTTTTCTGGTCAGTGAGTCACTACACTGTGCTTTGACGGAATCAGCCGATCAAAATGAATCTTACTAACTTGGTTCAGGTGCCATGGAGTTATCTTATCAGCTACCTCGCTTGTCTTATTATTTATTTCGATGGAAAAAATTTGTTCAGATTCGACAAATGATGATTTGGTGTAAAGGGTTAAGGCTGGTTGACCAATTGATGTTCAACTTTTGCATTAGCAGATTGATTAGGAATTTGAATTCCCCTTAATGAAGACGTCGAAGCCTCATTTTCTTAAAGATAAATGCTTACTTTTGTAAGTATTCTGTTGTGTTTTTACAAATGTTTATTTTACTTATTTCTATATTTTGTGCCTAAAATGCCGTTTTTGTGGGCCACGATGATAAAGCGATTGCTTTGAGCAATCAATGCTGTCTACTACCCTTCTGGACTATTCTAATCTTTTGTGAAAATACGTCAATGTTAGTTAGTAGCTTTGCTATTCACTTTCAATGGTTCCCTGAACGTGCTAGAAGGCCATAGTGAAGCAAAACGATGAACTGCAGTCTGAATTGCGCAATAATTTGCTCCATGGAAGAAGATATCTACCAAGTTAATACACTCAACCGGCATTGTTAATGCTCTGGAGTCCCTTAGAACTATTTATCTGCTAAAACTGAGTATTTTATTTAAATCTGGGCTTGTGTCAAATGTAAAGATGAAATAAAAAGTGGATGAATACGGATGGACCTTATTTTCACTATTTCCTTCTGCGGAGTCATACAATATTTTGAAAAAATGCTTCTGACGAAATCCTCCTTTGTTAGTTGTAAAAGAATGTTTACGTGGCTTGACACCTCATTTCATGGGACCTCAGTAGTGCACGCATCCGCACAAACATGATTGGCTGTTCCATAATTTATTACCGAAATGCCATGAAATAAAGGAACCGATGAAGTCAGTTGGCCCAGCAAAACTCGAATGTCAAGATTCGTAGCTGATGTTGGATGTGCACAACACCTTTATGATGATTCTTCACACCACTATGGAAGAAGAGTGAATACATTTGGAAGAAACCTTAAAAGTGGGAGACCATTTGCGTCAGTTTTAGTGGCTTTCCGTAGCTGATATACTCTTGTCTCGGAACTGAGTAGAATGTGTTTTATGAGGAATGAGACTGCTGAAAAAGTTGGCATGCATGCTTTCCAAGGTTCAATAAAGGCTGCATGCATTCACTCGACAGTGTTTACAATGAGGTTAGATAAAGGTGCCTTCTCTCCTTAGTGTGAATGAATATAAGGCTCTATTGAGGTATGTGCACTAGTAGCTTTGCCCCCAAAAAGCAATTTTTTGTCTGTTCCTAACTCCTCCTCACATGGATTTGTGTTCAGCCAATTACAGGCTCACCACCATTGACTGTCAAATTAGTAGCTTCCTTCTACTTTCGTATTTACCGAAAGATATGACATACTGGCCGTATTATTTAGGTAAAGGAGCTGGTGACAATTCGACAATCCGAAGCAGAGGCCGTTATAATGCGCCTCTATCTGGCTCCAATGCTCGTCACCTTATGCACCGAATGCAGCCATGGTTGTTTCTTTGCAAATTATGGTTTGCTTCTCCATGCAACGGTTCTTTGCATATTTTTACAGAGACTACCTACAGATTGCGAAATGGATCCGGTTTTGTGGAAGCACCGAATTCCATGGCTGAAAGTCTCAATAGATAAATATTGGAAATTCGTTTTAAGACCTCATGTATCGTTGTTCAGTGGAATCTTTCAACTTCAAGCAGTGATTAGCTCCAGATCTTTTTATTGAATGAGTCACTAGCTGACTTGGGTTCATCACCGAACTGTTACAATGACGGCAGAATTTACAGTTGCAACGACTTTTTCTTCTGGCACCAAGAAACTAAGCCAGCGTTCATTGACTCCGCTTAAATCCTGCATATTTCACAATTCTCCTGTTTGTGCACCTTTGCACTTAATGAAAAATGGGCAAAATCGAGTTGCACAGAGGGCAAGGCCTATTACTTGAAAAAAGATTGCCTCGTACAGCCCAAAGAACACTTTAATAAGTTCAAATATGAAGCAACATGTCAAGTTTTGGTCGATTACACCAGAACTTTGCTCTCATTTTTGCCACGCATAGCCCAACTTTCCTTTCGTAAATACAGGTGATCGGTGTATAATGTGGTCAGCTCCTTTCAACAATGAATGGAATCGTTTAATAAATGTCTTCGCCGCCCATTTTGAATTTGCGAAAGCAGCACGAACAGAGAACTCAAGTGCTTTCAGACAGAGCCAAACGCACACGTCAGAAATATTTTGCGTGTAGTAGATTATCCATGTTGAACTCTCACTGCCCACAATATTCGTTTGATATTTAACCTTTTTGACCCTGAACAATTTCCGCATGCTCAGCTCAAAACGCCATCAAAAAGCGTGATGGTAACCTTACAGCAGAATTCTTAGCCCGTGCGAGAAAAAAAAACGGATCACTTCGCCCTTATTTTATTTTGTTAACCTCGGAGACAAAACTGTGGCATACTGCCACTCATTAAGGATATTTCGACTATGTAAACTGCCTCTAAGGTTTGTGCATATTCCATTTAACCGCCAAACCTTGTTACTGATAGTGTACATCGGCTCAAGTAATATTTGTGCAGTGGCGGTGTGGATAAACCGTAGTTGGGGTGCTAGGCTATTCAAGCCGCCCAGAACATAACGCATGGTAGCTGTTCTCTGATTGGCTCGCTCCTGTCGCAATCAATCCGATTCGACAAAAGTAGCAGCAAGTTGGGCGTGCAGGACGAATTCGCCATCTATGCGAGAGGGCGTACTGCAGGCTCTCTCTTGCGCACACTCGCGCACGTACCCACATCAGCGAGTTTAGTGATGATGCAGGGACCCATGTACCACCACTCACAAGATCATCCCTAGGCATCGAAATGCTCCTCGTGCGACTGGATAACCCTGATTCAAGGCCGCCGCCGCCGATAAACAGTCGGTTTGTGCTATCGCCAAGGCAGCTGATCGCGCGCGCTGAAGTGAGAATAACCCTGCGAGGTCGTTCGGAGTCGCCGCCAATAAGACGGATGGACCATAGCGGAAGCAGCGCCATTGTGCACTACGAAGGGAATAATGGAACTGCCCTCATAACGCTACGTAGACATTCAGTTGCAACAGCAAGTCAATATGCACCAATCACTGAGAACCAATTGGGAGACGCTCGGGAGGTGATTGGTCTACCAGCTCGTGACTCAGTTGCACTAGCTACATGCGCACACGACCTTGAAGTGGCGGCTACAAAACAGTTGCCACCGCTGCATCCACGCTCGGCTCTGCTTCGCACAGCGCCTGGGACCTCCAAAGTAAGCCAAAGACAACCTCAGAAAAACAGACCTTCATCTGGCAATTTCTCTTCCACCCTCCTCATCAACACACCAGGACATGCATGCGTAACCCGGTCAAAGAGTTTCAAGACACTTCGTCGCTGCGAGTCACCAGAACCCTACAGATCAAGTTCTCCTAGCTCAAGACCACTGCTTGCAAGGCACGCGAGCTTTGAGACAGCTCTACCCATTTACTCAGAAGAGAGTGATATCTACGTTCACATTCCTGATACTAAGCCCTCTGAAGACCCTCTACCACGTCTTCGTAGCGTCGCTTCAATAGATAACTTCGTGACCAGCAATCCAAACGCTCGACTCCCCCCTGCACACCCTGCAGCCGCTCAACGGAATGGCGTCGCTGGTATGCTAGCCACTAATAAGGGTTCAAATTCTCCTGTCAAATATCCATCCACGCAATCAGCTAGACTGCATGATTCCACGTCCTCCCCATCACTAGAACGCTCAGCCGTTAATATAGCCATGACTGGGGGTGGGCCAGAGTCCACATCTTCGTCAAACCAGGGTTCACACTTCCTTCCTAAGGAGTCCATCCCAACCAAGAGACTGGCGACGCGGCCGGTGGTTGGACGGCACTACTCGCGAATCCAACTGCCCTGCACGAAGGCCAGCTCACGCTCTAACACTCGAGTGATGACAGATAGTTTAAAGCTTTATGAGGAGCAGATCTTTTCGCATCAGATCTCCAGTGGGCAACGACCACTCTCTTGGTGCATAGATTTGGGAACTATGGACAAGAGCATGACCCACACACCCGACGACAACTCTTCAGGGTCTCCCTCAGTCACAAACTCTTCTTCCACCATGTCCTCTGCTTGCTCTTCATCCTCATCTTCTAATGCCTCCCATGCTGTTGGTCCTCCCAGAATCGGGCACTTGAACCGCCTGACCTGCGTTCGACATGGTTGGTGGTTTATTTCTTGCGTTTATCAATTTGCTAGTTAAATTGGGTTTCGTGTTGTCATGGGATATTTTTTGATTGGAATAGGGTGGAGAAACTTTAGTGTGCCTTGGACTCTGTTTTGAATTTGTTCGGCAAAGGTATTAACGAGGAAGTCGGTTAAATCTATCGCTTCTTGCAGCACTAAAAACGCGTCTTTGAGGAGCTAACCAATATTCGCACATTTAGCCATTCTGGATTAAAACTACTTATTTGTTTTTTTCACTCCTTAAAATTCACCTCTTCAGAAATTCGTCCTCATTTTCTCGTAGCAATTTAACGAATTTCAAATTTGCATAGCATTTAGGAAATAGTCACACTTAACCCTTCTTTTGCTCTGCCACCAAACCTTCCTTTTATTGTGGTACAGGTTCTATAATGATGCGATAATCAAAAGTGCCCCCATTTGCCGTCTTCTTGGGATCTTGCAAACATTGTGTTTCATTTCATAGTGTGCATACCACTACCACCTTGCACCGCTATGTTTGTGATTGGATTAGGTTCTAAAGAAACAGCGCGATGTAAATATGCTTCATCCATAAAATTGTTTGCTTTTACCGAATTCTTTCAAGGGAAGGCAATTCATCTACCTGCGCTATTTTATGGTTGTCACGGTCTGTCATAGTTTGAGGGAAGAACGTTAGCTGAATTTTCGACGCCGGCTCCTGCAGGGAATTGGCAGAGAGATGACGCGACCGTATGAGTCATGCGTCAAATGACTCACACACTTTTGTCGATTCGATTGTAGTGCCCGTGTCGCGAGTCCATGTGATTCGCAACATGCCCCTGTTTCTGCCCTTCAGGCCGAGAGTGGGTCGTTTGAGCCGTTGAAAACGCCCCGATCAGGTTGGAATCTGCTGACTGATACTGTTTTACTATAATTTTAACATCAAACATTAGCTACTGACCAATGTAGATTCCTTTTTGCTTTCAAAAAAAGCATCAAGTTAGCTTTGTTCTTATTATCTGCGAGAAACATATTCGGTCAAATTATTGCTCCCTACTAAAATAAACTAAGCTCGTTTAATTTGAGAATGATGCAAGCAGTTGTGGTGGTGGCAACTTTCCATTATGAAGTGGATAGTTCGTAAACAAGTGAAGACATTTATCAGGATGTTCCTGTGTTTGTGCGCAATCGCTTTAGACGCTCTCCTCCTCCTCCTCCTCCTCCAAGGCAGCTTAGTAATCAATTCTCTCCTCGTCAGTGCTAAAAATAACTGGAGGAATAAAGTCAGCCCCGTCCCTCAAAGGGACTAGTCCTATGCCTTGTCTGTTCGGTGGTTTATTCCTCCCTTTTGGTGCGCCTTACGCGTCGTACTGAGCTGCACAGTATTCGATGTTTTACTCAACTACCTTGGAGGCACTAATTGCACCATTTGTGCAAACAGAGGGTAAAGCTCCCCGTTACTTCTGAAAAAAAATCATTTCATTGTAATAAACTGCTATTACTGTTGAGGCATATTTGAGTAAACTCTATCACCCATTACTATCTCACCTGTAACGTTTTGCCTATCTGGAGTTATAATTAGCATTATTGATACTGTCCGAATTCGGGTTCCAGTGATGTCATCAAGTCCATGCAAAACAAAATCGCCCACGGCATGTAAGTAATTTACGGCATCTTTACATATGGGTTCCACCGGCTTTATTGTTATCAATTTTTAGGTGCTCTCACGGATCAATCTGGTCAGTCTTCCAATTCGAAGAACCGAAATCTGTCGGTGCGTCAAGTTCAAATATCAAGGCTTTTTCCTGAAGTTACAAGACTAGGATGAAGCCCAGTTCACGCATTAAGATTTTGTCCTTACATAGCAGGAAAGTTCGATAGTTAACATTATTTAATTTTTGATTCAAAATGTCAATAAATGGGCTGTGATGCTGGCCTTTTCCTTACTCATGAATCGCTCGGGCAGGTAAGGAGGTAAGCATTGGATGATATCGAGTTTGTGAATGTGTGGTAGAGAGACTTTAGTTCAACTTTGTTCTCCAACCAGCGTACATCGCTTAGGAGCTGGTTGTGCAGAATGTTCACAGCTTTGAAATTAACCACTCTAACTCTGCAGTGAAATTATGGGATCCAATGTCCAGAACATTTCTATGTGCTTAAACGCTTCATAGCAATCCCACTACGTGTGTCTTGGATGTCGTCCCAATGACCTAACTAAAGTCGCGTTTGAAACCCCATATGTCCGTAATGATTCCTTTGCTTTTTTGGTGTGTTTGCTGTAGCCCATAATCCACGCGGTTCGGCCAGCCTCCCCACAGTGTCCTCCTCTGCGTCTACAGAGTCCTCCTGTTCCTCCAGGAGCTGCTAATCGGGTTGCATCACGTGGCTCTCAGGCAGGTATCCGTCAAAATGCGAACGCTCTCTTCTCTACTACTTCCGCCACACCAGAGGCCTCCACCCCGAATGCAGAGGAACAGAATAAAAGTCTCCTTACCACCGCCTCTGCCATCACTAGTACCAGCATAAGTAGTGGTACATCCACCTCATTTACCTCCTCCCTCTCCACAGTTCGACCTGGGCAATGCAGCTCATCTCCTTCCCAAATTCCATCACCACCTCCACCACCATCATCGCCACCTCCTCCTCTATCTGGCGAGGATGGCTCCACAACTCTGGCAACGGTGAGGCCGGACGGTAGTTTCCCTACGCCCAGTCTCAGTATGCTTCCACCACCCGCACCGTGGAACAATCGCAACAGTTTCAGCAGTACCAGTAGCCATAAAAACGGAGGTACAGGAAGTGCTTTTCGCCAGCTATTCGTATGCCCTTACTGCCGAGCTCTACCAACATTGTGCCGGTGCTCAGCCTCGTTAAATACCGTGAATGGCACATCTAGTCCGTCATTCGAGAGCGACAGTGAAGATGAGGAGGAGAGCACCTACGCCTTCAGCACGCTCGACTCTGACTTTATCGCTTGGATGCGATTAAGTGTAAAAAACGTTAACTCTTCACATCCTTCATATGCCTTGCGGAGGGCAGAATCACTGGCGGCCCTCACACAACAGGAGGTCTGCAATATTGCCAGGATCTTCAACACAAATCCGCTTGGGTTAAGGATGAATCTGGTGAATTCTTGTGAAATTAGCAGCTTTTGTGCATGCGTCTTGGCCCCCCATTTTTTTCAATCGACGTAGAGCATTGTTTTGAGGTCTTTTCGGCCAATTACGTCCTATGTCCCCATTGTCGATACAAATTTACCTGACTTAAAATATTCAATTCAGATAAATTAGTTCACATCTTTTATCAAAACAACAAAATGGAGACAATGACAAAGCTTGAGAAGTACATTTGATTAGGTGATGGTTGTTGAAAGCTGAAGGCGTAGCAACTGGAATGGCACCATCGATGATGAAATATCGTTCACTTAGGGCCGTAAGAATTTGTTCCTGCTTTATCTTCTCATGGCTTTTGTTGAAGTTTTAGTTGGCTCCCTTGTGTGGCTGTTTACTTTGTGCCGGTATTTAAAGCTACTTCCAAGGGGCTACGCTTCAGTTTAATTGTGCTACTGTTGATAACTGTTTTCCTAAACTGGTGCAAGTAGTGATAGGCCACCTGAGTCGAGAATGACAGATCAGTATAATTCATCTTTTGTTTTTACGCATGATGATTTAGACGAATTGTGTTGAGAGCTTAGCTACTTGATATAGATATGAAAATATCTACTATCCTTTTGAGAGGGACGATTGAACATCAACCCTTTGGAGGCCGCTTTAGTGATTTATTGTGGCTGCCACTGCCATTAGTGATTGCATGTAAAGCCATTTCGATTAAGTTAGCAGTAGTGGAGCGCTTTAGATTGCTTTAAAACACAAGTCGAAGCAGCGCCGAGGTCACAATACCGGAAGTATATCCTCATTCAACTTTGCATAATAGTCGGATTCATTGGGAGTTCAATAGCTCACTTTTTTAGCTTAACTTATTCGCTTACATAATGCGCTTCGAATATAGAAAAGAAGTTGAGTTAGTTGATGCGACAGATTCCTATAACTACCTAGGCTTCCTCCTGGGTTCATTATTGAGCCCTGTAAGCGGGGGATCTACTGCGGTTCAAGTAATTTTTTTATTGCTTTAAGGCTAATAACCATTGGACTTCAAAGTGGCATCCAGTAGTGATGTGTGAGACTTTGGAATTTTTAAGTAGCTGCGTTGGTTGTGACATTTCGATAGGTTTTTTTGCAAATGGAAAATGGTGCATTCCCACTTCCTTGGTGAGGCGCATTGTCAAATTGAGGGACCAGTGAACCATAGGTGAAATCAGCTGGTAATTGACAGCCACAAAGAATTCACCCTTCGAGAATAATTGGATTCCTACCTAAGAGTTCCTCTGAGGCCATTTGTCATACAGTCTTGCTACCCTTTTTTGACTCCACATTGATTTGTCTCTTTATGGTTTAAAAAACCAGTCATGTTTAGTATTTTCGCCTTTTTTAAATAATAGTAGCAAGACTAAACTCATCTTACATTTACTGTTTGAACCTTGTACCGTCAGGGCAGGTCAGGACGTTGGCTTTGTTCCCACTATCGTGAGAAGTTGGCATGCACAATGGTCCGGAGCTGTCAGAGCTCTGTGCTGAGAGGACAACTCGTGTTCTTCCTGTTGGTCCGATACTGACTGCATCCTCATAGCCACATTCAGCATGGAACTTCATTGCACAATCGTGTTTTACTTACAGACCACAATGCATTGAGTAAACTCTAAATTTACTTTTTCTCCACTTTTCAATGCCTCATAGCACGTTTCCTTCTTGCCAAATCTTGGTTGCGCAATCCATCGGTATTGCGAATCTTTTGTGCCAAAGTGTCTCTTTAATTCTATTTCTTATAGCCTGCTTGCATTCGTTTGAGTATTTCTTTCTCCTAGCCATGCCTAATGGGTGTGTGCAAATTCTGCCAACGGGTAACTGTCCGAGTCAGGTCTCGTTGTTGATCTTTAATAGCATCAGCGCTCTGACATTTTCTTGGCGCACTTGAGTTTCGTATATGGGGAAGAAAAAAGATCTCGGCTGATCTGTCCATTCGCTCTTAGTTTATATGCTTCCATATTTTAATCTGCGCAGCTGTAAATCGTTTCACCTCTTCTTCCCTCGCTCCTTGCACTCAGGTGGAAGGTACAAACAAACTAGTGGGCACAATCCGAGTGTACATAAACCTCATAAAGCCGGTGAAGATGTCTCTGCGTCAGACGATCCGTCACATGCCTCGACAAGACGCTGACGCCGCGGTACCCGATCGTCTAATCTCCTTCTTCCTTCCCCGTGGTGGCTCACGTCTCCTCCAGCTCTCTGGGTCAGTTGTCATTTCCCCTTCTGCCGTCTCATTCTGCTAGGCTTCAAATCTAGCTTTGAATACTAAAACCTTCACAAAATAACCATTCTCTTTTAGTGTCTCTCTTCATCAGTTACCTATTAAATTTTTCTATCTAGATTTTAATTGCTTTTTTACCTTAATGTCCCCCCAAAATATACCATCTCTCCGGTTGTAATCTGCTGGAAACCTCATTAACTCAGACAGTTTATAAAACCTGACACTTTCAACTCCTTAGACTTGAGTCACTGGAAGATGGTGTGAATTCGTCCCTTAGTTGATCGGGCCACCTTCCCGTGCTTACACTTTATCCCTATGTCAGGTTTTTCCTGGTGCCCCTTGGCTTCCAAGTTCTGCCGGTGCTGATCAACTGTCCTCATCTAGACAGTTGTAGGGCAATGAGTCAATGTTCTCTCGCCATCCAATGGTTGGTGTAGCATTTCCAAGTGGTATTACTACGTACTGAAACATGGCTACAAGCCAGCGCCAATTACCTTTACAATTCCCCTCTTTAACGTAACTTGTCCCACTAATGATCCAGTTCTAGTCAGTCCTTACGTTTTCGTTAAGGTTAACCCCAAAGTGTTATTTTGTCATGAAGTCCAAGACATCAGGCATAAAGTCTGAGCAATAGGGATTCATTCATCCTGCGATCTCTTTGCAGTAACCCCGAAATACCTTTATCCAAAATGTTCACTCTCGAATTATCTGCATTTGCCATACAATTTTTCCAGACGTGTGTAGAGGGGAGGATTGGAATATTGTTTATTGTTTAACTTAAAAGCAAGTAGATCATCTATATTGTTTATCCGCTTTGCCCTCTGATACAAGTGGTTTCGGCATTGGTTAGCTTCTGGCGATCGATTTTTCGTCGATTTTGCGGGAATGGCATTTAACGTCTCCTCCTTGCAACAGTATTCCACATCCTGTGCTTGATAATGATTCCATTCGCAGGCCTCATCATGCCACTTTAGCTACTTGTATGAAGTAAACCATGACTTGCTGTTTGGACTGCCATCCACTTTCAACTGCCCCATCACACACGCACACCCACCGCCTGTCTGGCTAATCGGCGTGCCCATCGCCGTTTCATTTGTCTCACCGATCCTGTTGCTCGCACCGACATTACTTTGTCCTTCTTGGTGATCTGAATGTTCACGTATCAGACGACATTTATACATGCTCGTGTAACTTTCTGCCTACTTGGTGGTCTCCAATCCAAACCGATTTTAGCTTCAAAAATGTCCTCTTTAATGCAGTTTTCTACGTATCAGCTACCATTAGGTTTCACTCATTCCTGATCGTTTGTATGGTTTTCTATGAACCTGGACCCTCCACTTCCTCTTTGCTCCACTATCAGACTAGCCCTCTTGTGCATGTCCACTCTTTCTTCACCACCGCACTGTCAATTGGTTTCGAAAACAAGTCAGTCCTAATTCGGACGAATTTAGGGAAGATCTAGCGTCCCCAAAAATGAGCTCAAGTCTCCACTCATTGCAGTTGATTGTGCAATGAGGTGATTTGGTATGTTCATGCGATGAGCGAAATCCAGGCAATCTCCACCCCCAAACAGTACGCGGGAATGTGGCATCTGCTGACGTCGCTGAACAGAGTCTCGGAGCGGTGATAATAGGCTTTATCGGCAAATCCTTGCTTTCAGCTGGTGACGTCCAGTATTTTAAGCATCATAGACGATGCCTGGTCCAATGATCCAGTTCCATTGATGCAATTGTTGAAGCATTCGTATTTGTAGTAAAGTGCAGTTTTCGAGATTCTTTCGCTTCTATTAATTGAATAATAATTAGCAATTTCACTCACACTGCCTCCTTTCATCACTGTTTTGCGGCAACGATGGTAATCTGCGATCATTTAAATTTTAATACTTCCCTAGAGCCTCTTTCATTGTCTACGAATTCCGGTCGCCGTTAGTACGGTGGATGCATCCTTATATGTAAGTTCCTTTTGAAAACTCAGGGAGGTCCACACGGTCACAGCGTCTTTGATACGCCATGGTCAGTTTATTATTTCTTCGTCTTTACACCAGTTGATTAGCAAAGATTACACACTTTCCTCCGAACACCAGCAAGTGCTAAGCCTTTGTTGGTGGCGGGACAACGCTGATTTAGCTGCCAGATGTTTATATTGTTCGAATCAGTCTCATCAGTGTGATCGCGAATAAGTTGCTAGAGCGTAGTAAAATGCATGAAACAATTTACCACAATTTATCTTAACTCATAAGTGGAGGCCTACTTGTACTCTCGCGGACAAACTATTGAAGTTCTTCCTCTTCAGTTGGGGCCCTACCGAAGGGTGATTAGCGGCACTGCGGCTGACAACAAATTAGATGGGATGTTTCAAAGTTCTCATTCAACGTGGTTATTTTTACCTTTTGGTGAGCTTTGGTAATTCAAGCAGGTGTGTCTACGGTCCTAAAATGCGAATTTATTTTTTAAGTGTATAGGAGTTCTTAATTTCAAAAAATACAACGGTGTATGGTTCTCCTTAATGGGGAACATGGTTTGCTTACAATGATGCGCATTCCTTCGATGGATGCGGGGCTCTGTGCACTAATCTCAAAAAATACAGAATGCAACAAAGTAGTGCTACTTTCATAGAAGATAAATGCATATGACCGTGAGGAAATCTGAAGTTGTGCTTGTTCCATATCGCATTGCAAACATTATTCGTTTCTGTTATTTTTAGCTCGACTTCTGCACAGGAAGTAATTCAATGTCTCCTCGACCGGTTTCACATTCAAGAATCGGCCAGTAAATTCGCTCTTTACGAACATACTTTGGAGGCTCAAACGAGTAAGCGGTAACTTCATCACTGCAAGTACCGTCCGCTCCTCTCCCTCTTCCATCGGTCCAAAATTGGTAGCACATTAGCATCTTCCGTCACGTCTTTTACGCGCACGTGCAATTGCGAGGATCAATGCACGTAGGCTGCCTGACTAAGACCACGGTTACACATTCGCCTGATCGTCGATGCTTTCCTGATCGTGTGTAAATGGCACAGGTTAGGCAGTGAGTGGCTCCAAATCAGTCCCGGTTGATTTTCAGGTTGATCCCCACATGGGACTGGCATTCTATCTAGTCGTTTTAAAAGTGTGGCACATACAAGGACATACTTGTTACGACTTATCCTTGCGATCCTCCATGAGTGACGCTCGTGAGCTGCACCCTTCTAAGGGGACTGAGCCTGCCTACCTTCTTTTGTATTGTACCAACTTTCAGTTTTATCGCGGAAACTGCCACCTTCGGAACGTCCCCTCTCCATGCTGATGCACTGGGTCAGATCGGCTCTCTCAGTAGGGGAAGACTTCGCCTTAGCCGTCCGGCGCAAGCGTGTTGTGCTCCAAGAAAACGAAAACTGGGAGGTTAACGTACGTCCACTAGTTTCCTTACTTCCATCCTTCTGCTACTAAGGTGACTTTTTCCGTGTCTTAAAAACCGTGCCGTCATTACTTTGCTCCGCTGAACGTTTCCTTCCTCGTTTTAAAAAAAAATTATAAATTTTTAAGGTCTACATATTTTTCTACTACTCGTGGGAATTACTGGAAAATAAGTCCCATTTATGATAGCTGACTTCCAACCTCGACCCGTTGAACTTGGTTCTGATAGAGATCAAGAACACAAAGGAAACCCATTATCGCCTTTTTGTCGGTAAACAGTTTCCCAACTGTGGCCATGTACACCCGCACACACGTACACACTTGCATTTGTATCTGTACGCGTGTATGCGCTTCTGGTCTTACAGACGCGTACGTGCCGTCGGTAGGTCGGTCCAATTCTGTTCTAGCCAGTGTTTATGTGCGTCACTTTTTTGAGACCGTACAATGGTTGCTTCGCCCTCCTAATTGTTCACCCTTTCCGCTAAGTGATTGTCCTTTGGCAACACCAAGTGGTTTTTTATCTTCACGACTTCTTTGGTCCTGCTGGAATAGGGAACAATTGAAGTCGGAATTTGATGCAGAACTGTCTGCAACGACTTCTCTTTTATGCATTTTAGTGGTATGATTTTAATCAACCCTTTGACACTAATTACCTGAGCCGTGACTATCCATTACGTCCGCAAGTGGTGCTAAAAGCAAATAGAATCACATCCCACATTTTTAATGGAAAAATCATACTCCTCATGTATGAAGAATCCAAAGTTTATTTAGTTGATTGTTATGTCATTTGATCCTCTAGCTGCCAAGTTGGAATTTTTGGGAAATTATTTTTTTATTAAATTCTACACTATCTTTCCTGCAGTTGCTGCTTACCACTAACATCCGTTCGTGAATAATTTAAGGTATTGTCTTCGCTGACCGTCTTTTTAATTATTTGTGATTGTGCAGGTTAATATTAGCTTTTAAATAATGCTAGTCTCATCCGTGGATGGTTTAGTAATTTCTTCATATCCTCTCCTCCTCGGTAGTGGTCTGACTTTACCCCAGCTGAACTGATGAATTTCCTGCGCATATTGGAGAAGGAGGAGGCGGAGTACCGAAACGCCATCTACTTTCAGTATGGGTTGGTGCGGCAACAAATTGAACAGCGGATGGCACAGCTTAGCGCGCAGGACCGCCTTCTGGCCGCACGACACTCAGTAGCCACCTGCTCTCCACTCGAGCATCTCCTTTTACTCCCGCCCCCTGATCAGCAGGCTCCTTCCTGCACCGCTCCCATTATGTCTCAGCCCCACCATGCGAGCCTATGAGGTGCCTTGTCTAGGCCCCTTGCATTTCATTTCGAGAGTTTGTGTGGGTGTACATAGTCGCCATTACCGTTGCCACCTCTTTATTTCTCTTCATGCTTTCTGAAAACTCGAACATTAGCATTTGTCATTCTCTGAATTAGTCAAACAATTCCCAATTTTCCCTTAATTTTCCTGCCTGTGGAAGACTGGGAGACCTTCACACTACGGTGCTGAACGCTTAAGAGTTGTGTTGGCAGTCGAGTGAAATGCATAGAGAGCCATACACTGAAGTCAACGATCTCGATTCGGCTTGTTTTGCCCTGTTCGAATAAAGTGGGGTCCTGACAGGCCAATTTCCGAAACCGTCAAGAGTGTTGGTTTGGTCCAAAAATTTTTATGAATAATCATCTCTAATTGGTTATATTGGAGTCTGTATAAATCAGATGGTATTAGCAATGTCATTATTTTGTCAACAATGCAATTTGTAGTGGCGATGCTGGAATCCCATATCGGATTACCTTAAGGACCAAACAGGCGTTTCTGCGGTTTTTGCACCTATCCCATTGTCAGCAGAAGGGTCGAACGGAATCCGTCACAGCTTGTAGAGTACTGAGCTTTCAATGCATGCTACATTTGTGACAAATTTGTCCATGTTAAGATATCTCCTTAACTCGAATGTAGCACCCTTGCTGTGATTAAGTTTCCGTTCCTTTAACAAAGTTGGGCAATACATAACGCCTGACCTTTACAGAAACTAAAAAGGACTTTCAAGGATGGCTTATTGGCCGCGCTCTTAAACGACCTTTATCTTATGACGTGACTGCTATTTTCGAATGCAACTCTAAAAGCCATTCGCAAAACATTCACAGGAGCAGAAGCTTGGAACCACCGCATGCTGAATGAGACGCCTGTGATTGCAGCATCTAGTCGCCACAAGATGATGCATAGTGTTCGTATCTGACGTTTGTATTGTTTTTTAGTCTCACAACGTAATTACTTAGCTTTTTTCTGCGCTACTTAACGTGCGTATTTGAATGCTGGATTTAAAGATGGTTCTGCTTTAAGATAGCAGGGAACTAATGAATAGTAGCCGGCACTTGTTTGAGTGCACTGTCGACATTGCTGTTGTTCTCTGTTTTCCCTGAGGCAAGTGCTACGAATTAATTTTAAAATTTCACTATTGTAAGAATAATGGGGTATTTTCGAAGGCATTCGTTTTCAAATGAAGTGAAGGCAAGACAGCTGACACATTCTGACTTGGTTGGTTAGAGTATGGGTGGCGGCCCATCGTCCATTTGGATTTACTACCGATTTACTGAACTACAATGAACCTGGCACAATAGTAGAGTTAACTGCGTATTTGCCGAGACGAAGTTAGTCCTCACAAGCTCTCGCTGTCAAGCCGATGTATATCAGCTTGTTTTCTTGCAACGAGAGAAGCTAAAATTTCTCATCTTTTTCCCCTTCTTTGCAACTTAGCTATTCTTAATCCTTGGTCGCACGGTCCTTCCTAAAACTTTTTCACCAGCCTAACTGATACAGCCTGGCAGATTGTCAGTATTTTACAATGGAGCGGGTTCTAATTTCGCAAGGAAGTTGCCAGATTTCCCTTTCCTGTTGTAACGATGGTGGGACCTTTGATTATTATGCTTTTTACGACACTTCTTCACAAATAAACTCGTCAATGCACCAAAAAATTAGGAGTTGTCTTATAAATCGAAGCACAGCATAAATTTAAGCAATGGTCGGTACTGTAGTATGGGCTACCATGCCAAAGGGGTAGGCGTACATAGACCCTTTGATTAGCTTATCCTCCACTAAATCTATGTTCCAGCTTTCAACATTCCCTCGCTCATGTGGTCTACACGTCTGTTTGTGGTATTTACAGATGACATCAGCAGCATAGCCGCGAAGGTCTCGGTGACTGCAAATTGGTTATTACTGCAGAGTTAATCCATTCGACGTTTGAATTCGGATGTGTTCGTCAGCTCGTCTGGACTCACGTGTATGGTGTTCACTAAAACAGCTAAAGTTAAGCCAGAATAAGAGAATTCATGATTTCTTCAAAAGCATCTAATGTGGAAGTAATAGTTCCCCGATCTCTTGCCATCACGATACAAACAAGTTTGAACAAGTTGCCATGTAGTAGCTTCTGAAGACAAGTAAATCATGTGAACCTGCGCCGCCTTTTACAAGCCACTAGGCGTGCAAATCATTAGTTCACTAGATTCTGAAACTGATTAGTTGACTATCTGCACGATATGCTCTAAATTATCCATTGAATTTAGTCTGCTATTAACAAAAAACACTACTTTTAAATTATCAGTAAAGAAATTTTATTTTTGGCTTCATTAAACGCGCTTTGAGCTGACACGGAAAATTTAAGAGTAAAGTGAATAAGTTGTGTGGCACTTGGTAATAATTGCCAACTTGCATAATGAGACAAGTCGCGGAGAATTATGAGCTCAATGGTTGTACATTTCAACCTACTTTCTTATTTCCAAACTTAAACGACGAAAATTAATGAAGTATTGAAGATGGAGCCTTCTCGTTTCCTCTAATCAGCTCTCATAGTCCCGAGGTGATTAAGAGGAAATTCCATTGGCTGTTATATTGCAGTGATGGGAAGCATTCGTTATCTAAACATGACTGAAAGATGTCCGTCTAATGACAGCAATTCGCGGAAGAATTTTATATTTTTCTTGGAATGTTTTATCTACACCGTTGCAGAAAATGTGGGGAAAGGAATTGTTAAGATACGTTGTGAAGATTTCAGTTTTACGTAGGGAAGATTAGTTGGTTACTTGTTAAAAGTCCATCCAAAAGGTTTGAATCCTAATTTTTGGCATGGTTTGTGGACAGTAGTTAACAAAATGTATGTTTTAATTTGCATGAGGCAATTATCGTCAAAGTTTCGTCGCCACTGTCGTTGCGTATTTGCATTGCAAAGAGCTATTTAGGGCCACAAGCCAGAGTGTAAACAAACGCCCCGGCATTGGCATATCATGAACCCGGTTATTAGCCATGATACTTCGACATAACGCTGCCCTCATTGCTGGTATTAGCACGAACCCTGCTCAGCCGTGCCAAAGGCGTAAAGCATGCGACCTCCTCTGACCCCTGTGATTCCACTGGCTTGTGGATGAATGCGGGGGTGAGTTCCATGTGCTTGATCACGTGCTAGTGTGTGTCCAAAGCAGTGTGGGGCTTTGCATGCCACGTGGCAAACATTGAATTACCAACATGCGCTCCTAGTGTCACCTACCTGTTGATTTTGCTTTCATTATTTTTTTTGCTTCGGGCATAAAACGGCAAAAAATTCATCTTTCCCTTAGACAGATTGTCTCCTTGGAGAACGCCATCGCTTCATTACTTTAAGCAACGCGACTAAAAATATTTGACTTTTCCCAAGTGCTTCCACTCTACGTCAACGCACACCTGTCAATATTTCTCGAATCTGCGCTCCTACTCGGAGCTAAACTCCAATATGCAACATAGGGTTGAGGAAAAAAGACGAAGTTAATCAGTGCTCTACTGCTTGAGTAAGGCGATTTTGTAGACTTTTATCATGCAAATTCAAATGGTCATATAAGTATGGCGCTGGATCAGTTGCATATAATCTGGCCTACATTGCTGCAAATTGATGGAAATTTCTCTTCCCATCGTTTCAGTGCCTTAAGTGGTATGCCAGATTTAGCTGTTTTGCTCGGTCCGGAAATACTTAATTTAAGTGATTTCGTGACGATAGACAGGAAAGTTTGCATCACTAACAGAAACGTCCACGTTTAGTGTAAGTGTGCAGTTGGTCAGTTGAATGATTGGCCAGTGGAGTGAGTTGAGGACGAGAGGTCTCAGATTGAGAGCGGCTGCATCATTCGGTCCGCCCGAGGGAAGTTTCAGTACCAGTGCTTAGGGTGGGTGGGTGTGTGTAGCTGTGCTGCCATTTTCACCATCTCTGTCCCACTTATCATCCTTACAAGTTGAGAGTGAGTGAGTGAGTGAGTGAGACCACGAGAACTGTGTTGCTGGGTCACCGACACACTCGTTCGCTTCTCCTCTCATCGTTTCCTTCTGCACCTCATGCGCTTTTCCTACAGAGGTGCACCATTTTGCACCAGCCTTCCTTTCTGAAATGGCAGCCAAAAGGCACTTTTACCTGCCTCATTTCATTAAAAGTTTTTTGGTATTTATATAAGTAGAACATCTTATTGACAAGACTTTCAGTTGTCACCTCTCCCACCAATCTCTCGCTTGCAGTCATCAGTAAGCACTAGATTTATTCCTTTTTATGTGCCTGTGTGCGCTTATAATTTCGTGACATTTGACATCCGTTCCGCTCCAACTGCACAATGGGAGTTTCCTTCCCGCTGCAATCGTTGACGTGCGCACATCTGCGCGGTTCTGTTTTTGAATGCTTTAGACCAGGACTGAGACCATTCTGAAAAACGATTAACCTTATGGGAGATTTTCGGAAAGGAGGACATTAGAATAAGGCTCATTCAATGCTTCTAGTTGACGCTTTGGTTTCCAATTCAATGAAAAGGTTGATAAGTAAGAATTCGATACTTTCTGACAGATGATTACCTAATCGAAAAATACTTTCTTTTGAAGCCCTGCAGAATGAAGTTTGAAAAAGAAGTGGGCGGAAATTTAGGAACGAACGGATCTGTTAAGTCTTCTCTCTAACCACTTGGGTGTGTGTGCGTATGCAGGAGTTGTAGAACAGGTTGGAACATGGGAGGCGGCAGTGGCAGCAGCAGCACCAGCAGCGGTGTGTACAGGGCTCCCCCTCCTATTGAATAAACACTCACATGGGTGCGGACGTGTTTGTGCGTGTGTGTGTGCGTGTGTGTGCGTAAGGGTTTACATACTGACTGGGTCAGTTTAAACATTCCGGCACCACACATCACAGAGCCCCGATGTGGTGACGGTGGTAGTTTTGGTGGTGGTGGTGGTGGTGGTAGTAGTAGTAGTAGTAGTAGCAACAGCAGTGGCAGTAGCAGTGGCTGCCCGATTATCTG